TCGTTTGATTTCAAATAACTAAGATAGTTTTTGAAAAAAGTCGATTGAAAAATGCTTATCATACATTTTTTTTCATGAAAAAAGTTTGATTCGGTTTTTATCCCCAGAATGATAGAATTATTTGAAAATGACTGATAGTTAAGCAGGATTTAGTTAAGCAGGAACCCGGGTAGTAAGCAGGATTGAGCGAATTTTCCAAGACCTACTTTTCAGACGGCCTGTCTTGGAAAAAGAACCACACTTCGGCTGATAGAACAATTTAAGGAATCAGGAAGCAGGGCCGATATCACCCATAATAACCTGCTTTTTTGGATTTGAAGTTAGGCCCATAACAATTTTTGTGTGGCCTTTAAACCTCAATCGTTTTTCTATTTCTTGCTATGGGCACTTAAATAACAAAAAAAACACTGCGCAGTAGCACAATCGACGCTCTTGCAGAATGCACTAAAACCATCTGTTGATGAGCAGCTGTGCAAAAGGCACGGCAATTTCGAACCTCTTAAATAAGTGTTCTCGTTTGGTTGATTGAACCAATTAGTCTTAGGTTAATATTCACTCGCTCGCATTATCGAGCGAGTTGCATTGAAAAAACTGACTCTTTGATTTGTATTTTTTGGTTGCAGTTTGGAGGTGAGAAATGCACGACAAACAAACATTGACTTGCTTCTAGAGAAATGTCGGATTTGTGTCCCTATAACGCAAACTTTAAAGATGAAATTTAAAAAATTTCCACCCCAGCTCCGCTAATTTACATGGTTTTCATGAAATTGATTATATTCGTCAAACTTTTTTTTCTGCTCTAAAAATAGTCTCCTCTTCGAAAACAAAAGGTTCTGTTTCATCAACTTGAAAACAAGTTAGTTTTTATTTAAATATCCTTAAACTTTTCTAGTGTTTCCAGCATTGATGTTTTTAGGTCTGTTAATGAGTTGCCGGCACATAAGTTAATCGTATGAGCAGCAAATTGCAATAGATTCAAGTTTCTGTTAATTCAATAAATAAAATCTCTGACATGAAAATGAAAAACTCGAGGTACGCTATGATTATGTGTTTTCCAAAAAAACTAATAATTTTGATTTTTCATAAATTGCTGAATGTATCCTTGAAAATCCTTCAGTTGATTTGATGCGTTTTTCGGATTGTATGTTGAGAAATGCAATTGAAAGCTTTAGAAAGCTCTAAAAATGTGCAATGTGTATTTCTTGATTGATGGGTCCTTCCAAAAAAAATTTCGGTAAAAATGATATTTGCAACAGTCGCAGACATGTTTTCCGAAAATGTTACTTGTTAGAATTGTATCGACAAAACTTGTTTGAGATGTCCTATAATGTGTTTCAAAAGAAAATGTTCGGAGACTTTTTATTGGGTTTTGACACGATTATAACTATAAAGTTTATTTTATGTACGGTTTTATAAATTGATGCAACCTGTGTTCTGCTTCTGAGTACGGTTATTTGTGAAGTATTTTTTAAATAAGAGGTGCTTGATTTCCTACTTTAGGAAACGATTGAATATGCTTCTGCCTTATAATTTCAATTAATCGAACTGCAGATGCGTTCGGAGAGCAAGTTTGGCTTGTTGGAGGCAAAAAGAGTTTCCCATAGAACCTCGAGATTTATATACTGAAAATTTGCCAGCTTTTCCCCAAATTTCTTTTTTTGTGACGCAACGAAAGTCGAACACTGCCTCCCTTCTAAAGATTTCTCTTGTTTTTTGTGGTTTTTTTTCACCCTGAACAAGTTATTATTTGAAAAACTTGAGTCAAATATTTTTTTGCTATTTCAATAAGAATCGTTTGTATTTTTGCCACCTGCCAATTTTATTCAGTGATAAACACTGATATATGATAGTTTTTCCCTAGTTCTTTGTTTAAAAATTGCATTATTTTGTGCTGTTTAAAAGCTGGCATAAGAAATCGTTGCGAAATTTATCAGCTTTTTTGTGTTTCCATATATTAATTAACCTGTGTTTTGTGTTTGTAAAAATCACCAACGCTTCATTGACACCTGGTTTCTTCTTTTCGTCTGGCTTACAGTTTTCTGATTTGGGATTCTTACGTCATTTACGCAACTATGATCTTTTCAATAAAATGTTTTTGATGCAGAGGACTTTTCATACCTTTTCTGATTGAGTTGATGGAAAGTTCTTTGTCTGATCTTAAAGGATGTAATTTTTTGGATGCAACAAACATATATTTCTTTAAAAAGCATAAGTGCTCTGCAAAATAATTTGTTCTGAAAGTTAATTCGTGCAATCTAACATACTTTATTTGGTTGTTTGAAACTAATCAATGGTCAATAAATGAAATGCGAAGGTTTTTGAGACATTGGTATAATTCAACATGAACTTGAAGCAAAGTCGTAAAATTCTGATGACTCCTCATATTTCAAAAGATCTGTATTTTAGTCCCAAATCATGAAAAAATCAATTTTCGAAGCAAATGCTAATTCATCAATCCGAAAAGTTACTGAGCGATGTTTTTTTTTGAGCAGCATGAATGAATTTCAACCCACAATGAGTCAGAAACTTTCTGTCAGCTCTCATGAAATCTTTACGAACCTTTATTTTGAACAAAAAAGAAGTCCAAATTCCAGCACTCCTCCTTTTAACACCTGTCTATTCTGAGTGTGGAAAATACTAAAAGTTTTGTTTCTAGCTAAAACTAAAGGATTCATTGAAGTTTCACCTAAAAATTAAAATTTTCATGATATTTACTTAGCACTTGTCTGAAAAATATTCACCATTGTTTCACTGTGTTACTTAAGCAAAATATTTAAGTTTATATCAAACAAAAGTACATAAAATTATAAATAAACCTGGTATCTCATTATGTGAGTTCCATTCAGTGGAAAAATATTTGAGTACCCTGCGTTTCGCAAAAAGGAAGGTTTTTTTTTCAGTTCTCGAATTAAAAACTGACAGTTAAAAGTGTAACTCAAACGTTCTTTGGTTTGCGAAATGTTTTGCTGTTTAAAATCAGCATTGGAAAATATTGGACCGTTGTTCAATAAGTAGCCCATGAGAGTTTCCATTAGTAATTTTGCACTAAGGCTGAAAAAAGCCGGCTTTCTAGGTTATTCCTTTGATCTTCATAACTTTTAACTCTGCAATGAGTTTCTGACTTTTGATAATGTGAACATTTGTTTTTCGTTGGCATTTGTTATTGACCCGGGTTGACCAAAATGCTTATCATACAATTCTCATAAATGGGAAATTTCTTTTCATACAATTTCATACAATTCCATACGTACAGAGAATTATATGAAAATTCTATAATAAACAATTTCCCATAAATGTAAATTTATGATATGTATTTTCTCCATAAACCAAAACGTTGGTTTTTGTTTCTAAATTTTTTTCTGAAAACATTTGGATTGTGCTTGCAACTAAAAACAAGTGACAAAGACCTTGGTTACTTAAAGCACCAAAGGTTGGATGGTCTGACATTTACAATGCATGAAAAACGACGTGAATTGTCTTCCAGATGTCTTTCACAAATGATATAACAAAAGTAACAAACTTTTAATTTTTAGCAAAAACTTTCAGTGATGATTATTTTAAATTTTTGAATTTTAAATTATCAGACATTGATCAAGGCATACATAAACACGCCAACAAAAGAAATAGGAATTTTCAGTGTTTTGAATAAAATAATTCAAGTGAAAAGAAAAAAAAAGCCAAAATTATTGTATCCAGGACTAGGTTATGCACACAGAAATATAAATTTTGCATGCAAAAAAAAATTCAGAAAATGTTTGTTTGCGTACAAAATTCGATTTGTGGTTAAAAAAAAGTTTGGGGGCAAATTTTCAAAATTACTTAAGAAATTTTTTGTGTCGCCATCAAAAAATGCCAATCATACAATTTCCATATATGGAAATTGTATGGAAAGCATTTTTTTCAAAAAAAATTTTAAATCAGTTTTTTTTTGTCACCAGTCTGTCTGTTCAACTGTTCTCAAAAAGCCGCAGAAATGGTTTATTTTTTTCTATTGTTTTTCGAAAATGTATGAAAATTGTATGACAAGCATTTTCTCCATATACTTGATGTATGGGTTTGTATGATAATGATTTTTGTTGTATGGAATTGTATGATAAGCATTTTCGGTCAACCCGGAGAATCTGATGCATGCTTTTTTGCAGTTTAAAAGAAATGATTTCAAAAAGTGTGATTATAATGTACCTATTGAGCTATTTCCGTCCCCTTCCCCGTTCTTTGTACCTCTTGGGGGGGGGAGAAGAAGGTGGTTTCGCTTGCTTGATCTAACACACCAGAAACCCATCAAATGTGAAATTGTAGTGTATTTTTTTTGCAGCAAGAAGCATGCGCTTTGAAATACGTGCTAACAAACGTTTCCGTTTCAGCAGAAAATACCATCTATTTTCACTCACCCATTTCAGACCGCAATATTAGCATTTCACATTAGTTTTCAGCATTTTTGACAATTGTTCTTCTTACAATTCTTTCATGTTTTTTTTTATCTAAGAGAGTAACTGACTCAGTTTTGGTCCAGTTTTAATCATCTGGTCATTTTATCAAAATAACTTCATCTATTCATTTTCAGACACAGTTTATTCAACAAGATAGTTGAGTTTGTGTGATCAACTTACTTGAAAAAAAAACATCAAAGTAACTTAAGTGAGTCATGTTTTTGAGCGCGCTGAAAAATGCAAAAAATTGGCGCCTTTAGTAACTTTTCATAAATTTATTGTACCGTAGTAGTATCATTAGCTGTATTTTTTGCTCATTCATAAACTGCGTATAGTTTATGAAAGTTCATAGGTGTTTTATTTTTTTTTCTATTTTATCTTGCTTTAATTTTATCTGAAGTGCCGCAGTTGTATTAGCTGATTTGGCTGCTTTTTTGCTCATTTACAAACTACATACATTTTACGTAACTTAAAAGTTAAATGTTATAATTGGTATTAGTTTATTTGTTATCTTACTGTATATTTATTTTTACCTGAAGTTATTTTATCTGTTTATCTTGTTTATTTCAGTTATGGGGGTTAATCAATGAGCTTTACATGGAAAAGATGGATCTCCACGAGGATATTGTTCTGAAGGATCGAGAAATTGACAATCTGAAAAATCAGCTGAAGGATCTCGAGGTTAAGTAATAATAAGAAAAGAAAATTACAAAAATGCAAAAAAAATGATTTTCATGGTCTAAGATTGATTTAAAAAGTTGAACCAGGGAAAAAAAGTGTAGTTCAAAAATTTTTTCTGTTCACGTTTGCTCGAATGAAATGATTATTAATAGGAATCCAGCGAGAAAAACGAGCAAACGCTGAAAAAGTCGCTCGAGTACAAAATCGCACATTTGGAAGATGAACTTAATAACGCCGAGGACGAAAACGAAGAGCTGAAGGAAGAAGTAAATTCGCTGCAAAGCAAGCAAACCGAACAAACGCGACAGCTGCAGCACGAGTTAGACGAGCTGAAAGCCGAAAACGCACGACTGACAAAAGAATTAGAACAAAAAGTTGATTTTTTTTTCATATAATTTTTTTCCAAATTAAATTCACAAAATGAAGCATATTTTTGTTTATTTTCCTTTTTTTCTAATTTTTAAGGTTGATAAAGACGATGATTTAAAGTTGAAGAGTGCTAAAGATACTCATGAGTTGGAAGAAAAAATCGAAACTCTAACCAGTGACCTCGAAAAAGCTGACAAGGAAAACAAACTTCTCGAAAAAGAGGTGAATATTTTTTTCTAAAAAATAAAGTCATTCCACTTTGACAATATGAACTATCTGAAACGTGATTGGTTCGTTAGATTAACGATCTAAAGACCTCATTGGAGGAGGCGGACAAAGAATTCGACCAATCAGAAGCCAAGTTTCTGCAAGACATTGCCAAACTGAAAACAGATCTAGATCTGAAAGACAAAGAGGTCAAAGAAGCGAACAAGCAGATTTTGGGACTGAAGAAAGAAGTAAGCGAAGCGGACAAAGATATCGACGAGTTGGAACAGGAAATAAAGAAGTTGAAAAAGAGGAAAAAAAGTGAAGAACAGGTGAAAAAATAAGGGGTCAAGTTAATTTTTTTCGTTTTTTTTTTCTTTTTTTTGTTTTTTAAAAATTATTTTTGATTAATTCAATTAAAACCATAATCACATAATGGTACAAAAGAAACACCAATTATCCCTGTTTGCTGGCCTTCAAAAGTTGGATCGTTTCTGTTACCTTAATTGGCTGTGACTACTTAGACCTTGACGTTGACCTTTGCTTTCTCTGGCTTTGGTCTTTCTTTATTGTGACCTTGACCTTTGTTTACAGACCTCAGACCTTGTTTTGCAGACAATATCGGAAAGTGAAGAATTCCTTTCCACTATTACCAATAAAACTTTGATTAATTCATCTTCTGATTCTGCTAATTCAATCCTTCCCGCCTCGAATTCTGGCGCTAATTTCCTTTTGGACGGTGTAAGTATACTTAGTTATTATTATCGTCCATCCAGACTTTCGACTGCTTAGTTGTTTTTTTCTTCATACCATTTTCGAAAAAAAAATTATCTTTAAGTTAACAAGAATAAATTTTTTGACGTTTTCTTAAAGATATCATTGCCCTTGAGCGATAGCGGATATAGATTTTTTGCAGAGGGAAGCGTATTTGGAAAAAAAAATAAAAAGTTTGTTAACAGTTTTCCCCGAGAATTCTCCAAATACTGAAGGGGCCCTTTTTGCCAAAATTTTTGGCTATTCTTCTCAAATAACAGGGCAAAAACGCTGTTTTTGGCAGTTTTCCGTGGATTTTGACTATTCAAGCATTCGCTCTCCTTCAAAATTAGTGCCATGGAAAAATGTTAGGGTCAATCGACCAACAATAGATGTCGTAAAAGGCTTCTAGGGGGGGGGGGGGGGGGGCGTTAGACAGTGCCGAAGTTAGAGAGTGCCGAAAAAGGCGGGAAATATTGGAACGCAATTTAAGAGGCTAGCTTTTGGCGGGAAAATTAATAATGACACTTGAAACTTGTTCAGACTCAATTTTGGCGCCAAAATCGATGAGCAAACAAAACTTTCTTTTCTTTTCTCAATTAGTTCACGACAAATAAAATTGTTCAGACTCAATTTTGGCGCCAAAATCGATGAGCAAACAAAACTTTCTTTTCTTTTCTCAATTAGTTCACGACAAATAAGTCAGTTTCTGCACTCTTTAACAAATTTTCGGCACTCTTTAACAAATTTTTGTTTTCGGCACTCTCTTACTTCGGCACTGTCTTACCCAACCTTCTAGGGGGCCTTTGGTTGGTCAGGGGGTCTTTTTAATCTAAATCCGTAACTGACTCAAGTTCAAAACTAATTTTTTTTTCGTTTAGAATCGCATCAAACTAATTTTAAATTTGACTGTTAACATGTTTTCAGCTGGCAGACCCAATGTATGGTCTCGCTTAGAGGTCTCAGACAAAAAATGATCTATTTTCCCTAAAAAACTTGATCTAAATTGATCTAAGATCGAAAAAAATATGGATTCGGTCAAGCATAAAAAATGCAATCAGATTCGTTGCATGTAGAAATTATACAAAATTATAAACGAAAACTTTTATCAAAAACACAGCAAAAAAATTAGTTCTGACTGAAAAGCCTGTAAAAAAAAAACGTTCATATATATTTTTTCTGACTAGTATTTTTTCTTTTTTCAACTTTTTGTTTTTCATGTTTACCAGGGTTTTTCTACCACCTTTTATGTTCAGAAGGAATATCTGACCACAAACTGTGTTTCAGAGCGAAATAACAAAACTAGAAGAGCAGAAGTCGCAGCTTCAGACAGATTTCAACGCCCTTCAAGACGACATCCTCAAAATCAACTCGTACAAGTCACAGATGAAAGAAGAACGCGACAGACTGAGAATTGAAACCCAACGACTCAAAGACGAGTTAGCCGAGGCGAGAGACGAGATCGAACGACTTAAATCACTCCAAAAACAACAGTCAAGCGAGAATCAAAAAGTTGTTGCTGAAAAACTAGCAGGGTTTTCAAAAATAACGGCTGAAAATGAGCAACTTAAAGAGCAAATTGAGGAGTTAGAAAAAGAACTTAAAAATAACAGAAGTTCTCGCAGACAGCAGTTAGAAGAACAGAAGAAATTGCTGGAACAAAAATCGAAAGAGCTGGACAAGTCTAAAGGTCTGGTTGATCAACTAAATCATCAATTGGAAATCTTGGAAAAAGAAGTGAGAAATAACGAACGACTGGCCGAAGAAATAGACGAAAAACAGCGGACTGTACTTGACCTTGAAAGGAAATTAAGGTAATTTTATTACAATTTGAGCTGATTACTTGCCTGTTGATGTTTTTTTTGCTTCCTTTTTCAGAACCTTGACTATTTTTGAGGTAGATCAACTTGTTTTTTGAGCCTTGTTAAACCTTAAAACGTCAATCATTGGCCTTTTATATTTTTGAGCTACTGGCGATCTTCAATTGAAAATGAAATCGTCCGAAGAATGATGTTTGAATAATTTTGAAAGACTCGCGAGAAAAGTAGTATGGCGCGTGCTTCAGTTCAAACAAAACAAAACTGCTCGTATCAGGGGGAGGCCCTGAATATTCCGACTGCCTTTTAAGGTTTATGGAGCAGTAGAAACAAAAAAAAATAAGTGTAATAAAACAAAATGAAAAAAAAAATTCTAAAATTTGAAATTTTTAAATGAAAATCATCACCCCACACGCCATATCAAGTACAAAAGAATAGATTTTGCTCCTTGCAATCAATATGGCAACTAAGCTTCTTTCAACCAATTTGGAACGATTTCTAAGACGGGTTAACTATCTGCTTACGCGTTAATAGCGCAAAATATATCACGCGTTGATTGTCCCAAACTGGCCATAATGGCAATCTTTAAACCCGCATAACTTTACAAAAAATGACCACAGGTGAAATATCTTTTCAAATTTGAGCTCAAGACAACGATACCTTTCGAATGATAAAAATTCCGTCAAAGTTGGCTAGTTAAATCGAAATTTGTCTGAAGAAAAAAACCATCCCGAGCACAAATATTCCGTTACTTTTGTATCGAAGTCGGAACAATTATACTACATTCTTACTATTTTAGTATATAGCTCTTTCTGCTTGAAAATGATTATCTCAAAAGTTGATGGATCCTTTTTGGAACTTTACTTGGTTGCGTTTGATAAAAAGGCAGTTTGGCGCATTCAAGAAAAATGAAATCAAATTGATTATAATGGATTTTCGTGGTCTAAAATGTTGTAAATATAATTGTTTCCTTGTTACGTTCAGAAAACAAAATTGGACTGAAAATGCAATTAAATCCATTATAGTGGATGTTATAATAAGTAGGAAATCACATTAAAATGGATTTTTTCCACTTGATTTTCTGCATTTATAAAGTGAGTTATGCGGAAACTTTGCAAAGCGAGTGTACGGCCTTACATATTTCTATACCTAAACTCAAGTTGCAAAAAGATTCCGTTAAGCTCCCACCCCCTAACGTTTGTCCTTTGCTCCTCTTAAATCCCCCTAAGGTTTGCCCCTTTGGTCCCCTCCCCCACTGAAACCTCTCCCCCACCTGAACACCCCCCTCCTGAACAAACCCCCCACCTGAAAAACCCCCATCACCTGAACGCACCCCTTCATTGTCATTGTCCACGAAAAAAATCAATTATAATGGATGAAAAAAAGTTTTTGTTGCCTCAAAAAATAGTAATTTTATAATCCATTTTTAATTGATTATAATTAACTTGTTTTCACTTTTGTGGACACTGACGAATAAACTCAATTATAATCGATTTTTATTCATGGAACTCCAATGCGGGTAGTTTTTTTGTGTTCCAAATAGCCACAATAATGTGTAACAACTTGCCATCAAGTAAACACAAGCATACAAGCATACTACAGTTCGTCTACTTTCTCGGTCGATAGTTGTGATCGATAATTTCCGCTGAATGCGCGAAGAAAATAAAAACTGTCAAGTTAAGTCTTCAAAGAATTATTGAGTATGAAGAAAAAAATGTACACGGCTCTGAAAGTTTTACAACGGTTCTGAATGTAGACCAATTTGAAGCTCATATTCAAAATGATAATACTAACGTATAACATGTAAAACTTAATTAGAGAGATTTAAATAATGAAGAGACTTTTTTCGATTGAAGTGTCGCCGATTCATCATCAAATGCTTTGTTGCGCCATATAAAAAAGAGAAGCTAGCCTTATCTTCTTTCCTTATAATGACCATCTGAGCATCTGTAAGCTTCTTGGAATGTGATTCAGTTTCGCTCTATTGAAAAATTGCTTGGTTCAATATTTGCTTTAAACAGGTGGTTGAAACTAACTCGTATGTATTTTTTTTCTGAATGATCACATATTGATATGTACGATATCCAATGAGGAAATGAACAAAGTCACCTAAACCGTAATGGTAAAACTGGAAGGGCGTTTTGTGAAAAAAGTTGTTTCAGATTTCACAACCTAGAAAAAGAAGAAAACAAAGCCCTAGCCCAAGAAATTGCGGTGTTGAAAAAGGAAAACGAAAATCTAATCAGCAAGACGCTCAGCATGACCTTCGAAGTTGCCAATGACAAGATGAAAACATTAGTTTTTCACGGAAAAGAGCAGACGAATGAACTCATTCTGAAACTGTACTATGTTTTCAAGGAACAACTCGACAAAATAAGGCAGACAAGACCAGATACTATTAATTTGAAGTCAGAAATTTGGCTCGATATGAATCTGAAAGATCACGGTAGACTATTTTACTTATTTAGATACAATCGATAGACTGAATATAGTTTTTTATTTCAGATACACTAGTAAAAAGTTTTGTACCCTTTTTTGATTTCAGTTGCGTGCCGAGAGCCGAGGAGGACGGAAATGAGATGGGGAGGGGGGGGGGGGGGGTGGTATTGGGGTGGATGTAGTTTTAAAAAATTTGCTCAGTGATTTTTGACGCACAAACTTTTTTGTCTCATCGAAGCTTTAGCACTAAAACAATAAAACCAAATTGAAATCAAGTCGCGCAACATCTTTGCAAACAGTTTGAGCAAGAAAAAGTCACTTATTGTTCAGAAGTGTTTTTCAACAATATATTAGAGCCTTTAAAACTAAACAAACCGTTTCAAAAAAAATTGACCACTTTCGATTGCAGTCAGTTTAACAGTTATTAGGTTACTCGAAGACTGCATTCACAAAAAGATTGTTATGAAGAGAAAACTTGACTGGAGATTAAAAAGTAACCAGGGGCGGAGGGGGAGGGCGATGGCACCCTCCCCCCTCAGGGATTCGACCCCTGCTGACCCAAAGGGTCCTCCCTTGTACTATTTTGAGATATCCATTTTTGGCGACGGACCCCAAAAATTTTCTGAAGGTACCTTAATACTAAATTTGAGGGGGAGCACGCGCCGATAAAACTCGATTTTTCGGTTAAATTTTTTCTTAAGTGCCTAAAAACACCCCTTTTGGCCTGTTTTTTTCTTCAAAATTTTGCCTCCGGTGCAAAAAAACGGCCAAAACAGGGCCTTTTTAGTGCTTTGGGAGAGCTTGAAAAATCAACTTGGTCGACCTAACAAAAAGGTCAATAAAATTTTGGAATTTTTATGAATAGCGCCCCCTCTCGAGAAAATTCTGTGTTTTTACATGGCTTACAGCAGTTTAAGCCTTCCAATTTTTCCAATTTCATATATGGGAGTTGTGAAAACAGTATCAGCTTGCAAACTGTTTTTCGATTTGTTGAGCTACTAAAAAAAGTTCAAATCTTTTTACATGTATTTTAATACAAAAATGTATGATTCTATTTGAAGAACCGACAATAAAAATTACGAATGATTACACAAAAGTCCTACGAAGACATTCACATGAATTAGTTTTTAAAATACAACACGTACACAACTTGAAAAATTAATATTTCATTTATCTGCAAATACGAGAGCATATGCATTGCTTACAGGTTTTCGTTAAATTGTTCACGTTTTTTCACACATGATTTTTCTAGTGTTATGCAGCTTTTATGATTGATTATTCACTTGTTTTTTAACTGTGTCTTAGAAGAATAATCTTTGATAAAAGCTGCATAACACTGCACTGCATTTTCATTGGTAACTTCCCAAATGGCATAATTCCCAAATGGCATAAAAATGGAAACTTTTCCCAAATGGCATAAATTTCAAGTTTTCATTGTAATTTAAACGTTTTCTATCAATTTCTAACTCTAACATTTTGTCAGGAACGAAAGCATGTGAACAAGATTTGGAATTAATTGCTTCCAAACAAATTTAAGCCACAGGTTTGCCGAAAAAATTTGACCACAAGAAGCTTATTAATAACCGCAAGCTTATGCTTCTTGCTTTTGATAAAAAGTTCTACAAGTTTTTCACGATAAAATGTCAATCAACATTTGAATTGACAATTTGACTATTTTTCTCACATTGTTCACGAAAAATCTGTTCTCGATTTTTCCAAAGCAACTGTTGCATGAAATTTATGCCATTTGGGAAATATTTCATTTTTATGCCATTTGGGAATTATGCCATTTGAGACGTAATCATTTTCATTTATTATGAAACAAAAATTTTAAAAACAAGTGAACAATCGACCATTAGAGATGCATAGCACAAGAAAACATGTTAAAAAGTGAACAATCTTATGAAAATACATGAACAATGCATAACGTCATTTTAAAGAATGAACAAAGTACTAGTTTGTTGAAATCTTTCAATCGAAAACTCTAAGTGTTTATTCGTTGCTCCGATGGTTTTTTTCACAAGACTTAATTTTTTAAGACACTCGAAAACTCTAGAAACCGTGTATATTCACGGAGTTACAATCGAATAAAAAACTAGACTTTTCAATTTTATACTTGCGAACTGAGGTTGCTCATGTCTTGCTGCAATTGTCTTTTTGTCGAGATTTTGCTGAAAACATGAAAATTATGAAAAATATGGGAAAATCAATTATGGCAAATAAACTTACTTCAACCAATTTGGAAAGATTTTTAAGCAGATTAAATCTCCGCTTACACGTTAATAGCGCGAAATATATCTCTCGTATATTCTTCCAAATTGGCCAAAATGGCATATTTTAACCCATGTAATTTTACGAAAAATGATCACAGGTACAATATTTTTTCAAATTCAAACTCAGGACAAAAATACTTTTCGTTTTTTGCAGAAAGACAAGAGCTAGTTAAAAATTCGAAATTTGCCCGAAGAAAAAAACCCAACCGGAGAACAAATTTTCCGTTGCTTTCGTTAAGAAGTTTCGTTCGGAACAAAAATTGCTCTAAGCAATTATCTAAATATATACACAAAAATCATTGTTCACTATAATGGGAAACCAAGTCGTATCATTCGCAAAAATTTTAGTTTAATGACTTTCTATATCTCGTTTGTCGTTTCTTAGACTCTGGAATTATCCGTATAAGAATACACGCAAATTATTGCTACTTTGACAGTATGTTTGGTTTTAGCTTGTCATATTCGTGTGTTTGTTCAATAGTTTTTCAGGCGATCCGAACTGTTAAAATTGTGCGTTGAAACAAAAAACTTCAAGGGATTTTGAGTAGCTTCAAGGAATGTTCAAGAGAAAGGGTGGTAAAACCTAGGGCCACGATTTTCAGCAAAACAAAATTATCTGAATTTCAAACAGTCCAAAAAAAATTCAGAACAATATTGAAAAATGCTAGAAGAATTGGCAAAAATGAACAAATATAGCTGGTTGCCCTGCATATATCACAGAATAGTTCGACCACACGCAAAAAAACTCCTCATTATATTTTTTTTCGATTAAGGGCATTTTTGTATTTGGTGTGATGAGAAAGTTAGACTGATGATTGAAAATTTAAAAAATCAGGCTGAATCGACAACAGTTATAATCAAGCGCTTCTATTGCCAAGGTATTGCTAAGACAAGCTTCAACAATTAGTTTTCTTGGATGGAATATAAAACCTTTTTTAAGGCCTGCTCGTTTGCTTTATCCACTCGAAACTAGACAAAAACTCAGTAATGTTAAGCTGCTACGGAAAAAAAATAAAACAGAATAAAAAACACACCCGAAAAAAGTGTTTCGCCATTCTCAATGACAGGAACAAAAATTATTATATGATCTTAACAAACTTCTTGCATATCTTCTGAAAAAAGTTATGATGTCTTTCTAAATTGAATTGAAACCTTTAACAGGTTTCAAGCAATGTTTTTTATATAGCTGATCTATCGCAAAACTATCAAAAATTCATCAATTGACAAAAATTAAATTCAATCCGAAAAAATAAAATTCGACTTTGTGATAAAATTGTTGAGTATTCAATTTTAGAACTTTCATTGAGCATTAACCTTTTTTTCAAATTTTGCTTAATGCCCGCTTAATGTTACGAACTCACTAAAAATTGCCCATGAAAAAAAATCATCAATCTGCCAAGGATTTTGTGATATTTGTGAGTCCTCAGTTTTCAAGAGCCTTAAGATTCGAATGTAGATAGGAATTAATGGTAAAGCTTTGTATTACATTCAATTTTACCAGGCGAGGAAGATCAGGGTTTTTTCTACAAATCGTTCTGAAAAAACTGCCAAAAAGGTAATTTCAGAGCAGTTTTTAATACTGTTTCATCAACACGGCGGCTACCAATTTCAATTCCAGAGAGGCGCCCTGCAAAAAAGCCGATATATCAAAAAGTTGATTGGGCTGGTTGACCGAAAATTAATGTCGTAAAATAGCACCATTGGAGTTTTTTTTTGGATGATTAAGTGGCTTTAAGGTTGCTCCTCCCCCAGTTGATAACATTGCAAAAAATACAGAAGTCTCACACAATTTCCTCATAAAAATTGACAGTTCAATCGAACAGTTTTTTCTCTCTGGCAATGTCTTTGAAATAATCGCAAAAACTAAATTTGAAATAATAGCGTAAATTAACAGGGGCAGTTTGAAGCTTAATTGGTGTTTTTATGGGCCTCAAAAACCCATATTTTGCCACAACAGTTCTGAAAAAAAACAATTTTTGAAAGTTACTTTCAGTGTTTAAAGTGAAAAAAAAAAACAGTTTAAAAGCAATTAAAATTTTATTTCATTGTTAATCTGTAATCAAACATTAAAATCCGTTGCAAATCACATATAATCAATTATTTTTGTTTTATTTAGAAAAAGACAATTAGACTCCATTGTAGTAGATTTTTTACCACTTTATTGTGTTTTCTACCTTTTAAGTAAGTTTGGTAACTTCTGTTCACTTTTAAATTTTTTCTGTGCAACTTTATTTTGTTAAACAACTGATTTTTTTAAACTAATTTTCTCAATCTCTCATTTTTTTTCAACAATTTTGTAGAATTTTTTAGAATAAGAGGAGGAGTCAAACTTGCATGTTGTTTGTGTTGCAAGAAATTGTGAACCGCAATCATGCGCCCACGCATCTGAATCATGTGCCCCCGACCTGAAACAATCCTCTCCACAACTGAACCAAACACTTTTTGGTTTAGGTGGGGGAGGGGGTGGTGGGGGTTTCAAGGGGTTGGTGCGGGTGTAAGGGAGGGTTTTGGGGGTTGTAAGGGGGTAAAAGGTCTGGCAAATCTAAAGGAGAGGGACCTTAACGCAACAATTTTGCAATTTGAGAAAGTTTAGCTTTATAAATCGACTAGGCAGTACGATCCTTTTTGGCATTAATTAATTGATAAATGCAGAAAATTTAGCTCAATTTTGCACGCCGCCATGGAAAAATAAAATGAAAAAGAATCACTTTAATTGATTTTACATGGACTACAATAAGTTTTTTTTTGATAAAATACTGGACTACAGTTGATTTTTTATTCCATTTTGTTATCTGAGTGCAATATGGGAATCAATTGTATTGATATTAATTTAGACCAGATAAATCTATTATAATGGAGGCATTTTTATTTTTTTTCAGGTGCGTGTTTTTTGTTAATTAGTGTTTTTTAAATTTAGTGGATGTCTTCAAAAAGTAAAGGGGACACTTTGGGTGGCCAGGGGGTCCTATCCTTGATCAAAGAAGGCGTTCCTGATTTTGGACGTTGCAACGAAACTTCATTTTTCTGACTTTCTCCTCAGAGTAACGCAAGTTTATGTTCAAAATTTTGTGACATATCCCGCAATTTTTGCTCCTTAGCCTGGTCACGGCTGAGCCTGGAATTTATATCGTAAGCGAGCAGTAATTTAGTTTGAAACGAGTTGCAGTCTCAACCTGTGCATAAATTCTTCCACTGAAGTTGTCTTTTTGAAGAAAAAAAAACATTTTTACAGATTGATTTTTTTCAAATTATGAATCATACTCTCTTTATCTACAACCAAATACAAGTGACATAAATTAAAACATTTTAAGCATGCTAGAAACAAGTCTGCGTATAACATTACAAATACTCCAGTAGTGCAGCTGCGAACAACATTGATTAGTCATAGTTTACTATTTTTTTCTTCAGGTGTGATGATTGATTTTTTGATGACTTTCCGATCACGCTGACTCTTCCCCGCTGAGTAGCTCGCCCAGGAGTTGTTTAATGAATCCGGCCAGTTCGTCCTTGTCTATCGCACCCGACCCGTCACTGTCGTATGCCTGGAAAATGTTGTTGTACAACTCATCCGGAATTTGCAAGTCACCTTCGTCACACTAAACAAAAATAATCAACAACTTTTTACTATGTCCTTGAATATCAGAATTTTGTAAATTGACTAATGTGTTTTGAATAATCTGTCATTGAAATCTTTTGTTTCTATTATATCTATATTAAAAATCAATAAAAAACAAAACAAAATTCAAAACTAAGCAAATTGAGAAAAGAAAAATTTTTTTTTGCCTGATTAAAACTAATGATTGTAAAACTACTGAAAAAATGAAACAATCTATTTTTTTTGTACAATTTTTTTATATTTATTTTGATTTTAATTAGCTGGGACACTTTTAGTCTTTTTTGAGACCATAATAGTTTTGACCTTCAGCGTCTTCTTATTTTGAAAACTTTAGTTTTTGCATAAAGATGGTTGATCTTACAGTTTTTTTAATTATTAAATAAAAACAACAGTATTATTCTAAGATTTTCCTGAGAAGATTTTCATAAAAAATTATAAAACTTATTCGGCCAATTTTTTGATCAATCAAATTGATTTTCTGAGCTCTCCCAAATAACTATACACACCCAATTTTGACCTTATTTTCTGTGCCGCAAAAAAAAGTCCAAAACTGGCGTTTTTAGACCCTAATTGCATTTTTGGGCCGATAAAAATTGCATTTTTTGGGCTAGTTTTCCACCGTCGAAATTATACATCTAGAAAATATTTGAAAAATTGTCAGTCAGCCACAGAAAGAGAACTTAAAAAAACATTAAATGGGACCTTTGATGTCTGCAGGGGGGTCGAATCCCTGAGAAAGAAGAAAGATGGGGCATTTGACCCCGCCCTCTAATTCCGCCCCTGTCAATATTGAATTAAGATTCCATTTACCAGTTCGCTTTGAGACAAGAAGTGTTTAATAAGCAATTTAGTCTCTTCTTTGTCCAGCTGTCCATTTTTGTCCTGAAAACAGAAAACACTGCGCAAAAGCTTTGTTTCGTTATTTTTCAGCATAATGAATAAAAATCAAAACCAAATTACTTGCTCGAAAAAATTAAAATGCTAATTAATGGCTTCGACGACATTATTCGGCCATCGAGCAAGCCTGCTATTTTATTTGGACTGATAATTTTTTTAACATTGATAGGAGGTTTGCAATTTTTTCACAACCTTAGTTTTGTATTGAACGATCAATTTACAAACTCGGGAATTACAAAAATCTTCTATTGCAGAGAATTTTTATTGTGCCTCTTGATTCTTTTATATGAAAAGTATGTGTGTGGATAACGCTATATTCAAAATTTTAGGCTAATGTTTTGTCCATAAAACTGGCTCAGCGAATAAAATAAGAACTGAAAATTTTTTCTTCAGTTTCGATATTTATATTGTTTAAAACGCTTATCATAGAATTTTCAAATATAAAAATTTTTGTATCATGAGCATTTTTGTGTACAATAAGCGTTTTCATGACCAATAAGTTTTTCATTCAATTGAAACCCAATATAACCCTCATTAAACTTGACTAAAAGCCCTTTTGGAAGGGTTTATGAAAAAAATTTAGCGGAAAAATGCTTATCATACTTTTTACTTAAAATGGAAACGTACGAAAAGCTGTTTTTTCGAACTTTTGGATGGAATTGTGTGATAAGAATTTTATATGAATTTATATGATTTATGGATTAATGATATAATTATTTCTTGAATAAATTTGTATGATATGCTTTTTTATTGTATTAAGGTAAGCCCTAGGGCTTTGTTTTATTTTTTTTTATTCTAATTTCTTTTAAAAAACCATGATAGTAAAACTTTTATGTTTTCTGTGTATCGTACTATTAAAAAAATTTTTTTGAAGCATTTTCTTGATAAAGAAAAACTGAGTTTATATTTTTATAAAACTGTTTACTATGCGCAAAAACATTTCTATACACGTCAAAGTGACACAATGATTGTGTGTCCAGACAAACATAGTCGTATTTTTTTCGTTAGTCAACATTTGTCTTCGAAACAAACTTATTTTGACTAAATATTACTTTCACCTGAAATTTTTATGCTTGTGAAAAGTTTTCGAATAAAAGAGCTCATATTAGAGAAAGAATTCACTTGTTTGCGATGATGAATTTCTACAGTTATGGGGGTTTGGTGATTACCAATTAGGCCAATTTGGACTAATGACTTCGCGCAATTTATCCATTTTTTTTTCTATTAACGCGTTCCATAGGCAGGTTTTTAAACCGGCTCAACGATCATTCCAAATTGAATTGCGGCAAAGTAATTAATTACAAGCTAATCACGTAGTTTTACACTACTGTTATCGTTTTTATTTTAACATGTATGACCTTGTCGAACTCGGTCATGATGTTGTCCACGATGCATTTCATGGCCGTCTCATCCTCCAGCAGACTCTTGATTGCTGCCTTTTCTTTCTCGCCAGCCTACAACAACTCTAAATTTGATTTCAATAATCCCATCAGGGCTAACCGCTAAAAATCCAATGAACGATGTCTGTCATCAAAAAGCAAACTCATAATACAGTGCTCATTTAAATTATCCGGACAAAATGAACAACACTTGAATTTGCAAACACGTTTTTCTCAAATTGGGTCAAGATTAGACAAAAAGTGAGGAGAACAAAAATTGCTTAGAATTTCATCAGAATTCATATGGGGCAATTTTTTATTCCGAATTTCTCAACCAAAGTTTTACCTCAAAAATGGGTCATTTTGGATTTTCTAAATTAATCAAAAACTACGCGGAAACTACTTCGTTAATTGGAAAGAAATATACGTCATAAGAAGCCTCTTACACAGCCCAACAAAGTTCTAGAAGGTTTAAATCTCCAAAAACCTGAATAGAAGAAAAAAAATTACTTGATAGTCAATAAATGTGATTTTTAATATATAAAACCCTGAATTTTTGCTTAAAAACAAATTTTACGCAATATGCGCAAACTTTTGCAGATTTAACCCCTCAAGAGCTTTGTTGGACTTCGTTGGACAGAGGCTTTTTTGATACATATTCCTCATCAATTCGCAAAATAGTTTCAGCGTAATTCTTGATTAATTGAAAAAAGCCAAGATAACCCATTTTTGGGGTAAAATTTGCTTGAGGTTTTCGGAGAAAAAATTGCATCATATTAATTCTGATGAAATTCTGAGCAATTTTGTTCTCCTTCTTTTTTTGTCTAATCTTGACTCAATTTGAGAAATTCGGGTTATTTTTTACATTCAGTAAAAAATTATTAAAGATAGCAAAAAATATGTTTCGTGCACCAATAAAAATATCAAACAAAGACAGCCGGTGGCTAAGCAAGTAGCGCAAAATGTTCAGACCATATTCATGAAAAAATCTTATAAAAAGTTGTTAAATTTGTTTTTCTTCAAATGAGTGTTGTTTTATCGCTTTGTGTGATTCGAGAACCATGCAAACGCGTAGAGACTTAATGAATTAGACATAATCAACAAAGTTTGTGTTCAAAAATGAAAGACAAACAAAAACCACAAAAGCTCCAAAGAAAATATAAGTACACCAAGAAACCACTAAAATAAACAACCAAAATTACTTTTCTTAGTAGTAAAGTTAGGTTTTTTCATGACTAGAAAATAAAAATTTCAATTAAATTATTTTTCAAATAGCAATAGTTACTCGATCGGTTTACTTGCTCGAAATTGTGCTGAAGCAGTTTTAATTTTGTAATTTTTTTTGTAAATTAATTCAAGACTGAAAGAGCTCTAACTTGGTATATCACTCGACCCATTCCAATAACTATGTTTGAGACCTATTTTTGCATATAAAAATATTTAAAATAACACACAACGAATTCAAAGTTATTCCTCATTTTCATTGATGGGAACAAAAAAAAATTTTCCTTAAAATCTGCAAAAAACAGCGTGGAAAGCTTGCTGTTGAGCTGAAGCACTTCACAATAACAAATTAGACAAAAAACTTTTAGTTGTCCAAAACAAATTTGTTCATAGCGTGTGGTTTCATTTTAAAACAAAACATTACAGTAGAGCAGCAAAAATATTCTTTCAATCAAGAATCTGTTCGTGCAACAACCCGTTTAAAAGTTATTGATATCTTCAAAAAATATATATTACCAAAATTAACATTTTCTATGACGCACAAGAGCTAAGCAGTACTGCACCAGTTTTTAAACAGCAAAACTTCGGATTTTAGAACACTGGAAACAGGTCTGATTAAAGCAACCATGTTAGCGGTGCTGACAAATCTTTTTGACAATCAAATCTAACTAGTCTGAAATTCGAAGAGAGCGCATGGACTGTAAGTAATATACTTTTATAACACATTTTGAGATTTTTTAAAAAAAACTTTCAGTTTTAGGGCTACGCCGAGCTCTGAAGAAGCAAAATACATCTACACGATAGTATCTTTTTCAATCTGTTTTCAGAACTTCCTGTTTTTTTATAATGAGATCAATAACATTTTGAAATTTTCAAACCTGTTTTTTTTTTCAACACTGGAAAAACTTTTTGGAATTTTCCTGATGCCATTGAAAACACGACTTAAAAGGCTTCATTATGGTATACCATTCAACCTAGTACGATAATGATTTATGGTAGCTGATTTTTGCTTGGAAAGAAAAAAACAACCGAATACAAAATTAGTCCTCATTTACAATGGTCGAAACAAAAAAAGAGTTCATATGCTTTAACAGAAATAGGAAATTTTTAACGAGAATATAACTTGCTAAATATTTTTTTTATATGTAGACACTTTTTTGCATTAAACTGATCGCATTTTTGTACAATGACCCAAAAACAAAAATTTTTTAAATTGAAAACTCTTAAAACATATAATTCGTTTTCTACTTTTCATTTTTATCATAAAAGATGGTTGGAAAATTTTGTTGTTTTCTTCTACTCTTGTACGATTTCTTATCTAACAATGATGAATCAATATTAAATTTTGACAACTCAGTAACTTTTCTTAGAAAAATTTTCAAAAAAAAAAAAACGATTGAAAAAAGTGAAATAAATGAGTCATTGTATTTGTTAAGATTAATGGATTTTTATAATGACAAAAATCTATGTAACGAGGTTACAAAACCTAAACAGATGTAGTGCGAAGATTAACCAGCTTTTGATGTGTTCAAAAACTTGCCTTTTTAGATGAGTTATGAGATTTTTTAAGCAAAATTGTGTAATTGGGCGTATATATTCAGGCTCCAAAATCAAGATCAAGTGGAACTCATGTAAATCATTGTATAAAATTTCAAATAAAATTAAGTTTGATGAAAAGTTTTCAGCAAATTAGTCTTTAACAATCACTCTATCAAGACAAATACAAAAAAATTAAATTCTGATTGAATTCATGAATAGATTTACGCAACCAGCTGGTTCATTGATGTTAGAAATGAAGATTATTGCTGAGGAGAGAACTTTAACAAAAAAAATTGAGTTTAAAAATTACAATCGTTGAAAGTTCAGACCTTTTGGTTCGCTATGAATACTTTCAACTCAACTATTTTGTTTGCTATAATAGAACCGCACCAGTAATTTTTAATCAAAAGTCAAAATTTTCAGATCATTTCAAGAAAACAATAAATGGTGCAATCAATGTTTCTAAGCTTGTTATGTTCTTTTTTTCCTAATAGTAAATAGTTATTGTTCCAATTGTTGTAACGAAAGTAACGGAATATTTGTGCATGGGGTGGTTTTTTTCCTTCAGACAAATTTCGACTTTACAACTAGCCATTTTTGACGGAACTTTTTATATCATTCAAAAAGTATCCTTTTCTTGAGCTTAAAAAAAGATTTACCTGTGATCCTTTTCCGTAAAGATATGGGGGTTTCAAGATTGCCATTCTGGCCAATTTGGTACAATTAATGCGCGATACAATTCGCGCTTTTAGCGCTTGAGTCGAGATTTAATCTGTCCTAGAAATTGTTCTAATTTGGTTGAAGGAATGTTTTTACCATAAATGATTTGCTATTAGGAGTAAAATCCATCACTCTGTACATTATATAGCGTGTGGGGGGATGATTTTAACAAAAAAAATTTCAATTATAGAAAATGTCGTTTTACTCCATTACATTTAATTGTTTCATGTTACTTCTGCCTCATAGACATTAAAAGGCAGTTGAAGCGTCCAGGGCTTCGCCCTGATACGAGCAGTCTTGTTTAAGTAGGACACCATTCTATATTCAAAATGGTAACAATTCAAGTTGCATTTTTTCCCAGTTGCTTTAATTTTCAAGATAACCATGAAACTCGGAAATGATTTTATTGAAAACATGTGAACAAAAATTGGAAAATAATTGCTGCTAAAAAAACGTTCGCTCCTTAAACATGTTTTCTCGAAGTTTTTTAATGCAATTTTGCTTGGAGTTTATGCCATTTGTGAATATTTTCAATAGTATGCTGCTTAGGAATTAAAAAAGGTAATCAATTGGGTGGTAATCGCTGAAAAACTTACCATATCAGAATGAAAAGTCGATGTGTTTTACTTTAACAACAGAAGCTAAATTTCTGACCAAACTTTCAAGCCTAGAGTGTTATCGAGTTAATAAAATAAAATGGTTGTTTCAAGTTTATCTAATAATGGTACTAAACTGCTTTCAACTATAACGCCACTAGACAATAGAAGATGGATAGACTTATGTAAATATTTAAAAATTCGGAAACTTGTTTCAACCGAGTCAGTTTAGAATTTAAAAGCGTATACCACATTTTAGTTTAAGAAAACGAAACATTTTCATGTGTGTTGTTGTGCAACGGCTGCAACATCCAATTAATTGGCACAGTTTGCGAGTTTTTTATTTTCTATTTCATCAATCGAAGCTTTCTCTTGTTTTACTTTGCTACTTGCGCGATAGATGCTTCGATTAAACATGAAACAAAAATGCTTGCCTGCAAAACTTAATGACTTTAAAAAAAATTCAGAAACAACGGATGTTTAAGACTACAAATCGTTTCTTTTATGCTGAATGACAAAATACAAGGAGCGTCAATTGCTTTGTTGTATTCTGAAAAAAATGTTTTAATACCGCTAAAAAGAAAAAGTTAAAAAAAGAAGTTAATTTATTCATCAATTTTTAGATCATCCAAAAGATATCGACTTTTGGTTTAATTGACGGGATCAAAACATGATAAAGTTTATAGTTAACTCATGGAATCTAAAATTATCACTGCTTAAGTTTATTGCACCAGAGAAACGTCTTCCGATGTAGAATTTTCTCTTTTCAATATATGAAAACTTTTTTTCAGATTTGAATCCACAATCTTGACCGTGTGAACTCTCTAAACAAGAAATCTCTCTAAACACGAAATGGTTTTCGAGATTGTTGAAAAACTATCTTTTTCACGGAACTCGAGCTTTGAAAAAAGTCAGACTGTTTTTCAGCTCATGAACAAAAGCTTAATTGTTTTAAAAATGTTTCTTCTTGGAGTTTATTCTGTAATCGAAGTTCTACTTTTCTTGACTCCTAAAGCAGTTATGGGTGCGCATTCACCGAAGGCTCAAATCACAGGTAGGGTATGAACATAAATGAACAAAATTAAACGCAATTGCAGGTTTTTGCTCTCTAAAAGTCTAATTTTAAGAACTATTTTAGACAATATTTACTTTGAATTTTAACAAAATTTACTTTGACCGACAGCAAATTATCTGAACTACCTCTAAAGTCTCAATTTTTAACTTGAAACACTTGCCAGTTTTTTCCGCGTCAGATTTCTAGTTGATAATGCCAGTTTTCATCCAGCGCACTAGATTTTTCAGAACGCGTGAAATTGTAAGAAACCGCTGAGTTTAGGATGTAAAACAGATTAGTATTGTACACAATGGTCCTTAGAGCTAGGTTTATTGGAGAGCAATAACTAGTGTAACAAGCTTCTTGAAGATATACTTGTTTCTACGTTTCTACACAAGCGGACAAAGTTTAGCGCAATTTCAGGATGTTACTCACTAAAATGCCTATTTTCAATGTCCGTTTTGGACAATTTAATTCAATTTTCTTTGAATTTTTTCTATAAAGCAAGATGATACGATCAAAGCTACCCTTTAAGAAACTATCATTATTTGGTTTCAATGACTTACCAATGTAACCCGGGTCTGAAAATGCCAGTTTTCCTCATTTTCACTAAAACTTGTACTTCTCGTGAAAAAGTATTACACGTACGAGTTTATTAGTGTTTCACTCCGTTTATTCAAAAAAGCATTTGCAACGATGTAAAATTTAGTGCTAATCAGAAAAACTGGCCTTTTCAGAATCGGATTACATTGATAAGTCATTGAAACCAATTGTTGATAGTTTCAATGAGGATAGTTCTGATCATATTCTCTTGCTGTGTGTAAAATTTTCAATGAAAATCGAAGTAAACGTCGTCCCAAAAATTAAATTAGTCATTTTAGAGAGTAAATTCCTGAACATGCCCTTATTTTTGTCCAATAGTGTATTTTCAGAGTTAACAAAAATTCAAGCTAATTTTGCAGAATTTGTTTTAGGCGGCAGAGAAGTTAAGAATGCGAGCGCTTATCCTTTTTATGTCCATATGGCACTGTGAGTATGAATTAATGTAATAGCTATTCAAACTAAAAACTTTTTTTGGTTTTCAGGCGAACAAAACAAAAAAAAATGGATGTAATTGGAATGGCTCAGAAATATTCGACTCTTAACGCCTGAAAAAAACCGACAGATCTCTATAAAAGAAAAAAACAAATAAATTAATGGAAAAAAATCTAAAACGTTCAAGGTTTTACTCCTTAAAATGTTTAGTCTTACAAACAATTCGGCAATACTCAATTTTGCACGTCAACCGACAGCAAATTATACTGGACGACATTGAAAAGGCATCATATTAAAAGTCGCTCAAACCTTTTCTAAAAACGGTTGATAAAACCGTGAAGTCTTATAAGCTAGCACTTTTACAGCAAATTTGATTACATTTCAGCAATTGTTTTACACTAGTGGACAATATTAAGTGCAAATTCAGGTTTTTGTTCTCTAAAGTGCCTGTTTCCAATGTCCTTTTTGGACTACTTTTACTTCGAGTTTCAGGAAACTTTCATTACGAGGCCAAAGTAAGCACTGGACAACAGTTTCGAGTCTGAATGTTCCTGAATTCCAGAGACAGTCTTTAAAACATATCAAAGAAAATGAAAGAAAAAAAAGATGAACAAAGGAAGCGTCCTTGTTGTTGAATCCGCTTACAATTCACAAAATATACAGTTTAACGTCGTAATGTTTTACATAGCCAAGAGCAAATGATCAGAGCTACCATCTATTAATTTCTCAAAATTTTAAAGCTTTACTAATGTAATCCGGGTCTGAAAATGCCATATTTCCTCATCTGCACTAAATTTTGCATCGGAGTGAAGTTTTTCTCAAATAAGCGGAGTAAAAAAGCCGCTCATGCGACGTGAAACACTCTCAGCGAGAAAATTGAAATAATCAGTGTGAAATTATTACAAAGCTCGGCTGTTACTTATTTTTTCACGTGGATTGAAAAATTTACTTTAGATGAGGAAACTTGGCTTTTCAGACCCGAATGATCTTGCTGAATCTTCGAAACCAAATTTTGATAGTTTCACGGATGGCAGCTTTGATGAATTTTTCTTGGTCTAAGTAGAAAAATTGCTGACTATCGAAGCAAATTTTGTCAAAAAAGGACATTGAAAACAGGCATTTTAGAGAGAAAGAATCTGAATTTGCGCTTAATTTTGTCAAATAGTGTACATTTAAGTTCTTACTAAATTCAAGTTTCATTGCACCTTTGAAAGAAAACTAAGCCTGAAATCATCCACGAAAATTTTTTTTTTCAACAAAAAAAGGTATGTATATGGCTTTACCTTCAATCTTGTTTCATTTGTTGACCTAATAAAAATGCAATTTATTTTTCTGATTTTTGAATAAATCATGAAGCTAGATTTAGTTCCAACAACAAATTAAATAAACAAATGCCTTTTCTACGTTACTTGTTGCCTAATTTTTTAGGGCTTAGTTTATAGGCAACGTGTCAATTTTTGTTGTTATCTATCACTGCATGGTTTTTGCAAATTTTCAAATCATTCTTTTAAAAACGTTTTTGGCTCATAGAAAATTATCCTTTCTGAAAGTCTCGATTTGCAACAGTTTTTTTTCCGGTTCCGATAATTGCTTATTATGACTATTCAGACTAAATTTATCAGAAAGCGTGAAATTATAAAAACAAAACTTATTTCAAAAAAATTGTTACTCTGAACAAGTCATTTTTATCACCTGGAATTTTTCGCATCGCATGAATAAACTTTTTTCTTCGCTTATACCAGAAAGAGTTTAATCCAATGCAAATTAGTGCAGATGGTTAAAACTGACGTTTTTAGACCCAAACAAACTGATAATTCATGAAAACAAGGTTTAGTATTTTCGAAGAAGGCAGCCCGAAAATTTTCTGCTGGTATAGTAATTTATTTTGATTAAAATCGTAGCAAAAATTATACAATTCACCTAACACTTTTTGTGAAATTTGCTAGTTGAAACGTCGAAACTTGTCTGGAGAAAAAAACCACTCGAGCGCAATGATCTATCCCTTCCGTAGTGAGGTATTCGATCTCAGTAAAATTTAATTATTAATTGAGACACTTTTCTTGCTAGAACATATTACTGACTACTAAATGTAATTTGTACCAAGGTTTTGTTAAAGTAATAAAAGAAATTTGCATTTTCAATATAAATTTTAACATCAAAAGTTAGATTTATTCTGATTAAAAGTCGATGAACATAGTTCAAACTTTAATATAGGTGGTGACAATTTCTTATCTGGAAAATCCTAAAATTTATTCAAGCTCAAGTTTGGTTTTTGCTGTTTAAATCATTATTTCTTTTTCTTATTTCAGTTCATTTCCTATCTATAAAGAAGGCAAACTCCACAATCAAAGAGTAAATGTGTAAAAGTCACTAAATACCTGATCGACTTCTTATTTCAAAATTGGTGTTTGAAATTTCGACTTCCCAAATTGAAGAAATTTGTATCTGAATTTTCTCATTTTGGATTTTTTTAACCAAAAAAGTGTCAGTCATAAATTGTTCTAGAATTTCTTTTTTTCTTAAGTGCTTCTTTTTTTAAAACTCGAATATAGGAATTTTTTCCAAATAGAAGAGATATATAGATCACTGAAGGTTACGTCACGTTACTGCTAGTGCAGTAGCATTATCACACACCTTCTGAAGAAATTCCTACATTTTTGGAATTAATTTTTAAAGAACAATAGGAGTTTTTAATCTCAGTTTTGAAAAGATCAAGTTCAATTGCAAAATTTTTGTTGTCTAAATTTTTTCCTCGATGTCCAGCCAGTTCTATTCTCCAACTGGAATTCCAGTCTAGTCCCTTGTCTAGAGTAGCGTATTCGAACTGTCGGCTGAATAGGTGTCTTTCCAGTAGCCCCAGTCGCGTTTCAATTGGTCTATCATTTCGTGTCTTAAAGCAGATTAAACGTCTCCTGTTTTCTTGTAGGGCCGCCTTTAGAGAAGCCCCCTGATATATCTTCTTGCGAAGTATTTTTTTATCGAATGCTTTACTGGCTCGCCAAAACGTTGGGGTTCCTTACTTTTCGTTTGTCGGGAGTTTCTTCTGACCCCGGTGTGTTCAAAGGTGGAGTTGTCAGATGCGCCTGTTGGAGGGTCAAATCGTTCATCTCTTTCTCCCGCGGATTGCTATGTTCCTCTTAGTTTGTCTGCTAATTTTTGCACTCCCCCTCTTTATCACTTGGCTTGCTCCGCCATGTTTTCTCATTCAGCTGGCGCTAAA